CGGCTTGAATGGTTTCGGCTGATAATATATCTGTTTATTTGCCTAAAATTTTGTCGTTTGAAGAGCAAAAATATATTTTTTTATTGTATTTGTGCTCTTGACGAGGGGTTTGGAATTTTTTTATAGCTCAAAGTTTCATTTGAATTTTTATTGTTGCTTTCAAAGCAACTCTTTTTTTTTCTTTTTTTTGCAAAAGTTGTTTTCGTTTTTTCTTACTTATGTTTTTTTTTCGGCTTGAATGGTTTCGGCTGATAATATAAATTTGTCTACGAAGCCGAACGTTTTTGTCAAAATAAGGGCTTTATGGCGTTCTAAGAGCTTAAAAAATCGATTTGGTCAACCTCAAAAAAGGCATCCAAATTTTTTTTCGGAAATCCTTTCGAGTAATTACTAGATTCCTTGAAATTCCTAATGACTGAAAAATTAAATGTAACAAAATGTGCATAAATGTATAAAATATTTATATATTGTAAGGGGAATGTTAAAACAGGTCTATACTACATAGGACGTAACCCCTCAAAGTTTCCCATAGTTTCAGCGGGAAAACGATTGAATTGCTGTGCTGGGAAGAATACCTTTTTTAGTCAATCAGCCCGGAGGTTGACAATAGCTCATAAGTCCAGCGCCCATTGAGCTATGAACATAACTGCAAGAGATCATTTTGTAAAATGCAGCGCACTTGCATTTTGAGCCAGCAATCCATTGATTACTGGGCACTATCACTACCGGAGCGCCACATTGCCAAAATGCCACAATGCACGTTTAAATAATGATAACGTTTGTGAAATTAAAATTTTTCTTTCCACAACAAAAACATCATTGATACCTTTGTTATTCCGACGTTCGAAGAAAATGGAGCTATTGTGATCGGTTGTCTTTTTTCTCCAGGCAAGTTTTGACCTTGTAACTAGTCAATCCTATATATTTAAACGAATGTCGAAAAAGTAAATGTCATGTTCTAGCTGACATAAGGCACAATGGTTAAAGGGGGTATCGAGTGCACCGTTTAAAAATCAATCAGAGCAAGATGAACTCGATTCAACTTCAAGGCTCGACAGTATCTGCCCACTTTTGTCCAAAATTATGAAGTTACAGATTTATTTCAGTCTGAAATGAATCATTTATAAACAGCAACATCTATGCTTAAAAACAAACTTTAAACAAATCGATTCGAGCTATGAAATAACTTGGGTTATTTCGAAATTTCATAGCTACAATAGCTTGCGTAGAAAACAATTTTTTCTTGCGAACTGATTTAGTGTATGAAATAATCTTCATCATTTAGAAGTTTCGTAGCTTCAATAGGTTGCTGGGAAAAAACTTAATTTTTTCGCGTACCGATTCGGTCTACGCATCAATTTTAAATGTTTTATGGGCTCATTAGCTTGCTTAAAAAACTTAAACTTTTCTTGAACCGATTCCCTTTCAAAAATTTCAAAGTTTTGTAGCTTGAATAGCTTGCTTAAGGAAAAATTTTCATGAACCGATTCACTTTGTAAAATGACTTGAATTATTTCAAATTATCATAGCTTAAAAATTAGCCGAAACAAAACTTGTTAACCTTTTCGCGAATCGAGTCAATCCAGAAAAAAACTTGAAATATTTCAATGTTGCGAAGCTTGAATAGTTAGCTTAAAAAACTAACTTTTTTGCGAACCGATTCGTCTATGAGGCAACTTGAAAAATATCAGATAAACTTAATTTTTTCAAGAACCGAATCAGTCTACAAAAAATTTAAATTTTTCAAAGTTTCGTATCCTGAATAGCTTGCTCATAAAAACCCATTTTTCACAAAACGAGTCAGTCTACAAAAAATCGTGAAATATTTCATAGATTTAAGGCTTGAATAGCTTGCATGCAGATTTTTAAACTTTTCATGGACCGATTCGTCTGAGACAACTATAACTTTTTTTATAGTTTTTCACAGCTAAAATAACTTGCGTAGAAAACGAACTTTTTGCAAATTGATTCAGTAAATGAAATAATCCTCATTAATTCGAAGTTTCGCAATTTCAATAGGTTGCTAGCAAAAACTAAACTTTTCGCTAACCGATTCGGTCTACGCAAAAAGTTGAAATGTTTCAGAGACTCTATAATCTCAAACTTTTCTTAAACCGATTCTTTTTTGAATATTTCAAAGTTTTTTAGCGTGGAAAGCTTGCTTAAGGAGTTTTTTGCGAAATGATGTGCTCTATGAAACAACTTGAAAATTTTCAATTTTGCATAGCTTGAATATCTTGCTGATTGAAAACTTGATTTTTTTTGCAACCGAAATAATTCGAATTATTTCATAGGTTGTATATCTTGATTGGAAAACTTAAACTTTTGGAAATTGATTACCTTTATGAAATAAATTGAACTATTTCAAAGTTTTGAAGCTTGAATCACTTGCTTATGAAAACCCAATTTTCCTGAACTGATTCGCTTCACAAAATATCTGACAGTTTCATGGCTGACTAAATTTTCTAGAAGCCATCAATTTTTTCGACTAAACAATAGGTTTCAATAGGTTTCGGTCTAAGCAACAATTTGAAATAAATAAAATTTCCATAGCTTCAACAACTTGCTTAAAGAAACTCGACTTTTAAGCGACCTGATTCGCTCTAAGAAAAATTGTTTCAAGTGTTTCTAGCTTCCTTAGAAAAATTTTAGTTTTCGTGGACCGATTTAGCTTAAAAACAATAACTACTTCGAAAATTTCGTAGCTTGAATAACATGCTCAGAAACTTGAAATTTTTGAAAACTAATTTGGTTGATGGAATAATTTGAATTTCTTCGATTGAATGGCTGCAGTCTCTTCGATTGAATGGCTGCAATGGAAAAACTTAAGATTTAAATTGTCCGATTTCCTTTATGAAATGACATGAAATATGTGAAAGTTTCATTATAAAAAATTTACTGAGAAATTTTTAACTAGTCTCCAAATAATTCGCTCTATGAAACCACTAAAAAAACTTAAAGTTTCTTGGTTTGGATAGCTTGCTTAAGATATACTGAGTTTGGACTGACTGATTCGGTCTAAGAATTAAATTAAAACTTTTCAAAGTTTTGCTCAATAGCTGGCAACAAGTTTGTTTTCAAAGTTTTATAGCTTGAATAACTTGCTTAAAAAAACTCGATTTTTCGACATCTGATTCGGTCTAAGAATCAACTCGCACTTTTTCAAGGTTTCCTTGCTTGGCTTTTCTTAATATAAAATTTAAAAATATCGCCATTTGATTTGCTTCATGATAAAACTTGAAATAGTTCAAGTTTTGATAGCTTCAAAAGCTTGCTTAGAAAAAATCAATTTTTTCGCGAAATGATTTGCTCTGGAGGAAATATTTCAAAGTTTCATAGCTTGAATGGCTGTCTCAAAAAATGTTTTGATTTTTCGCAGACCGATTTGCTCTAACAAATAACTCAATTAGCTCAATCAAATTTTTCAAAGAGTCTTCGCTTGAATGGCTTCAACAGAAAACTTTATACTTTTTGGCGTCCAAATCGCTTCATGAGTTAACTTGAAACATTTCAGTTTTTTTTTAAGCTAGAATACCTCGCTTATGGTTTACTTTGAATAGCTTGATCAGATTAACGACTAATTTTTTGCGAGACGATTGATTATTGGAGACGGGCTTGCTAGTTTTGATTGAAAAGAGTGTTTAAACTATCTGAAAAGTTTTAGCAGCTTGTGCTTAAAATTGAAAAATTTCACCTGTGATCGTTTTTGTAAAATGATGGGGGTTTGAAAATGCTAATTCGGCTAACTTGGGAAAATTGACGCGCGTTATAGTTCGTGCTGTTTACGCGCGTCAGCGGCGATATAATCCGTCTCAGCAATCGTCGTTCCCAATTTACTTGAGCTATTTGGATTTAATAAATTGTTTTTACATGCATTCGATGCAGATTTCGACCATTCAGCCCGGGGTTGTATAATCCTTAGGAAACTTTTGAAAGTCGCAAAATAGGCGGAGCACTGACTAGAGTGCGGCAAAAGCAGAAGGCTAGAACGAAAGTAGCAAGGTGAAAAGTACAGTAGAACAAACTCTAACATTGGCTTAACAGTGGTCGCGCTATGGCGTGCGGTATTTGTCCAGGCATTTCCATTAGCAACTCGTGTCTCTGAACAATTTTTTGAAATTTTTTTCCAGGCGTTTTCTCGAACAATTTTTTTTCAGGGTTATCACGCACACATCACGTCTTCGCCTAATTGCTTTCTCATAGTTAGCTCTGTATTTTAGACCAGTTCTGCTTTTTGAGAATTCTTATCAGCGCCCTCCAAAAAACTATGAGCACAAAATAAGTTGACTCATTGTTTACCGCAGTTTTTTTTGGGCCTGGAAAAACAATTTAAAGAAAACGCCAGGCGGATTGTTTACAAAAAAAACCCGAAGGAGTTTGTAAAAAACGCCTGGCGGAGAAATCTGGGCGGATGTGTCTTGCGCGACACCAGAGACAGTCAAAACCCGCTAATATTTTTAGTTTGTCCGATTTTCCTAAGTTCATTTTAAGACAGATAATATAAATAACTAAATTGCGTGTGCTAAATTGCAGAATTTGGATTGTTGTGCAAAAATAATTCAAAAAAATTTCGTTGCAAAAAATCGCGCATATCTTTCTCAGTTGCTTTAGCTCACAATTTTTTCGTGTCGCGCAAAAAAGCGCCAAAATTTCTACGGTCGCGCAAAATTGCAACTTACCTATTTTGGGTTGCGCAAAGTCGCCCCAAATTTCTTAGATCGCTCAAAGTCGTGACTTATCTGTTTCTGAGTCGCCCAAATTTGCGCCGATTTTTCCAAGAACGCACAAAGTCGCCACTTATCTCTGTTGAGTCGCGATGGTCGATACCTACCCATTTTGAGCCGCGATAGTTGCGTCTTGCCTATTCTGAGTTGCGTTGGCCGCGACTAAGTCGCGAACTTCGACCTTGGCTCCTCCAGAACGAATTTTACAACTCAAATTAAATTGTGCTTTTTTCTACTTTTTCATTATAACAATGGCAAAAGAAAGTGGTAGCTTACCTATTTTTCCAGGGTAGCTTCCAGTGTTCCCGCTGTGCTGCTAGTCACAAAATGGTGGTTATATATAGCGCTCTATTCTCTTGTCGTCTGTGCAAAAAAAATGAAGCGACCAATTTTGAATCAAATCAAAGCTCTGCATGAATTCAGCAAAAATTGCTCTGTGAAAAAGAATGCAAAATGCAAGCAAAGAAAGAATGAAAAGAGTCCCTCGTAATTCAACGTGTGCTGCTGCTGTGTTTTTCAAGTATTGTGTATGCGAACACCAGTGAAAAAAGTAAAATACTAGGTCAGAACACGGAAAATAAACTGCCTGTTCTTTCAGCTTTTTCAACCGTGCTTCGATTTTAGTTAAAAGAGAGCGCTTTCAGTAGAGAACATTTTGCGGCTGTTTTATCAGAATATGTTTGAGCATGTAGGAACAATGATAAACTAATGTTCTAAAATCCGATGAAGCAATTAAGCGAAACTTCAACAAACTCAATTTTTTTTAATATCATTAAAAAGTAGGGGAATTTCAATCATGCATGACAATAGAGAAAAATATCAAGTTTAATTCCATCTAACGCACCATCGGATCTACCGAGGAGTTTTTTGGTCTGACGTGGCGCGTGAAAAGATAACGCAACCGAATGGAAAAACACGGAAAACAAATACACTAGATATTAAAAAGGCAATGTTGTCATTCACAGCAACATTGCTTAATTAACACTGAAAAAAAAGCGAACTAAATCAGTGTTGGTGTTCCACTTTAGGTAAAAGCACAAAGTTTGTTCTGGGTGCCGGACAACAAGCCGACGGGACTTCAAACCGAATAGGAAAAATTAGGTCAGAACGCCGAAAAACTGCATGCAAATTTAAAACTGACTTAGAAAGGACGCGGAAAAGAAAGTTTTCGTTCCGGTTGAGCTTTTGAGAATAAATACCACATGTTTTAAAACAGTTTTATTTTTTATTTCATACCTGAAAAAGGAGTGAGGTATGTATTTAGACAACCGCGTATTCCCACTCGTCTTTAAGCAGACAAATACTGTATGAACCAATCAGAATCGAGATGAGAAAGCAAACTTTCAAAAATTAATAATTGTTTAATAATATATTTCTTGTCTCGATTCTGATTAATTAATAAAGTATTCGTCTGCTTACAGACGAGTAGGAATACGCGATTGTCTAAATAGTGCTACGTAATCCTAAATATGATTTTTCTTTTATCGAAGCAAAAATTAAAAGTGTCAAGATTTAATTATGAAATGATTCATGTTCGAAGAAATAAAACTATTTTATTTAATTCAAATGGTGTAAAATTAATTGTCCATCGCGTGTTAGAACGACAGCAGACTCCAAAAAGGTCACCAAAAACCTGGACAACACAGTTAACTCCCCCCAGACAAAAAAAATTCAGCAAGAAAATTTTCGAAAATAAGTAATTCAGAGCGTTGAACAAAATGTCAGTAGAAGTTTGAAAGAATCGTATGACGAAGCCATACAGGGGAATTCTGAAGAAATTTTTCTGAAGGGGAATTCAGCCGAAAATGCCGAAATTTTACCAGAATCTCAAAAAAAAATAGAAGACGTTTAAAATTGAAGGTACATGACGAAAAACGAAACAAGGCAAAGAATGTTTTCTGCATCAAGAAGTTGGTCTCGTAATTCTTGCGACAACCGAAGGCCACGAATTTTTGGTTCGTTCAAAAAATAATATAAGAGATGGAACTTTCAAATCGGCACCCCCGCCGTTTATCCGAAATTATGCGGTATTCGCAACGAGCGGTGAACACATTTTGGCGGCAATTTGGGCTCAAAAACTGAAGCAATTTACTCAGCAAAATTTATTACAATTTTGAGCGAATAGCCTTTTGAAAATTTTTTGGTCTATTTGATGCCAGATTCAATCATAGCAGATTATGAAACCGGGGTAATTGTTGCTGTCGATAAAAGTTGGTTGCTAATTGGGGATGCTGGTTCCACTTTTCTTATTGTATATTTCGAAAATTTCAAAATTTTGGTCCGCAAAAAAACTACCAAGACGAAAACCTAAAAAAAATTGCGAAAAAAAAACTTTTTAGCTGGGCGTTCTTGCCTGAAGAGGAAATTGAAACCGCTCTCGGCAGACCAGATTTGTTCGCGATACCCAGAAATCAGACAAATTTTTGCTTATATGTTTGGTTTTTTTGCCACATTTCCTTAATTTAATGAAATATGGAGTGTGTTTGATCGCTCCCTGAATTTGGGGACAACAAAAAATGTGAAAGCTGGAATCTTGACTGGAACGCATCAGTGGACACAAAAAATCCTGTTTTTTGGACGGTTGTCCAAAAACTTAGAGAACAGGAACAATATTCGCGAATCGATATACGACAAATTTCTCGAGGAGAAGCATCTAATATTCAAAAAAGAAGTATCGAGACCTCAATGAAAAAAATTCCCGCCTAAAAAACTCATTTTTAGATGGATTTTTTTCTTTGAAAAACAGTTGGGAAGGGGTTTCTAATATTTGCAGTAATTTTCGCAATTAAATTTTGCATAAACCGTCTTTTTATTTTGTTCGGCTTGAAGTCCTGTCTGCTTGAAGTCCCTTCGGCTTGAAGTTCCGTCGGCTTCTTATCCTAGACCCGTTTGTTCTCAATATGTCTATTTCCCCAAATCGTTCTTTTAAAATTTGTCCGATTTCAGATGTAATATGACATCACTGTCAAGATCATCAAATAAAACTAACCCACATCACACCTGTCTACACGCTCTATTACTCTATTGCACGAAAATCCGGATCATTATCAAGAAGTAAAGTTGACACTAGCTGCGCAATGGGTAAAAAATTGTAAATGTGTTAACTATTCTGAACTTACTATAATCATAATTCTCAATTAACTCTCCGTCTAATTATGCCGCTGGAGCATACATGCTCACCGCTTTAATGAAATGGTCTGCCGAACAGTAGCTGTTTTGTAACATTTCATCATCCAGCACGCCCAATAGGTCCTTACCATTCGTGTTCATGGTAGGACAATCTGCGATATCATCTCTATCGAAAAAAAAGAACTTAATCTGTTGAAATTTTATCATGATGACATCTCTTCGTGGCAACTTGTCGTTACCACGAACTCTGTTGGTAACTCTCTTTATCTGGGAACGTCCACCATCACCTTAGCCGATTTGCTGTCCGTCAGAACTGTTAGCCGACTGACATTATGCCTATACCCCATGTCCACAATTTTTTTCCAATAGCCTCACTCTTTACTTCTGAGTCCCATTGTAAAATACTCTGCTTCACAGATCTCTGAATCTACAACTCCAATTTATAATGGGGCGTAAGTTGCTGTGGTTTTCAGTTGGCAACCATTGATTTCATTAATAAAATTTTAAATTCAACCCCATTCATGTAATAATATGCTTGTTGGCTTTCCACATCGCATGAACCACCCTGTGATAATACTTTTTATTATCATTACTGTTTTTTTCATCCGACTACTCTTACTGTTTATAATCGCACAAACTCAATTATCATGTGAAGTATACAAACTTTTTACCTTAATTTAAGGTCTACATATTCGGCTAAATCAGTCGCAACTGAATCACTGATGCCATTACTCCTAGTCGTCCATTTATTATCTTTCCCATTACCTCATCGACGTTTATATTTTCCAAGTTTCCTTTTAAGCCCAACTCCTCAATTTTATTTGGCTGGCACGTCCAAAATGTAAGTGTATGTCTTGCCTCTGTATCCCTTCTGCAGATCTTGATCTTTTTGAGTCTTTTCTGGTGTCCTCATCAAGTTATTTGAAAAATCTAGGGTTTTAACTAACTTTTCTTTTACTTCAACCCCGAGAAATAAAAGAGTCTCATCGGCAATCACAATTGTTTTCAATGTAATGAACTTCCCGCAACTGTTACAGGTAAAAACCCAATGAATTCCTCCTGAATCACCCCTCCCCTTCCAGGTTCGAATCTTCCCTCTGCATCCAAATTTTATAAAAATTATCTTTTTTAACCACAATAGATAAAAACTAAGCCCACAAGAAGAGTTGATTAAACTTATTGGTATTTTGGGAAAACAACTGGAACCAAACCCGATTTTTATAGCTAACACAAACCTGTCAACCATAATAAATGTGAAAAGAGTCGGGAAGAATACATTAAAAGGATGAAAAGATAACGACGTGAACTTTTCGTGGAGGATATGACGGTGAATGACCAACAATTTTGCATATCTCTGTTAAACAGATCTACCTTGGACCAGGGGCGGATCTAGGATTTTCTCTAGGGGGGGGGGGGGGGGGGAATTTTGACGACTTTTTTTTTTAGGTCGACCAAATAGATTTTTTGAGCTCTCGTAAAGCACTGATTTGCCTCTATTTTGGAAAAACAGTCAAAAAAGCCGTTTTTGGGCACTTTTTGAAAAATGTTGACAAAAAAATCGCGTTATTTGGGCGCGCGCTCCCCCTCAAAGTTAGTATATATTGGCGCCAAAGGCGCCTTTAGAAAAATTTTAGGGTCGGTCGGCCAAAAATGGATTTCTGAAAAAGTATCAAAGGGGGGACCCTTTGGGTCGGCAGGGGGTCGAATCCCTGAAGAAGGGGCGTCCGCCCTCCGCCCCCCCCCCCCCTAAATCCACCCCTGCCTTGGACGATGCATCTAAAATTAATACTAAAGATATTGTGAGAAAAAAACATCAGAGAACCTAATGCTCCCAGTGATTTTAAAAACGACACTAAAACGATTTTCAGTAAATGATAACGAGACATCTGTCATAGTATCTAAATTTAGTTCATGTTTCAATTCGAGTTGTGTTATCTATTTTAATCATCTGTCTGGCGCTAACCGGTATTTAACCTTCGGGGTGTCTGTCACCTTCGGATGACAGCTATTCTATTGTCTCCAACTTACTTTATGAAATACGGTTGCTTAACAAACGGAATTTAATTAACACTTCGAAATCGTCTTTTCACATGGCGCAGCCAACAGGCCAAAGTGGGGGGAAAAACCCACTGGGAATTACATCGTTTTGGCCCTCGACGTTTGCAGAACCACCAATGCTATGGGAGTTTTGGTTCAATCGATTTCAATGGGGGATGGTGGCAAAACACAGTTTAAATCCTAGGAATTTCTATTATGCCAGTACGTTAACTGCAGCGCAGATTACAGATTTACCAGAGGAGGTAGACGGGAAGAATCGCCTAGCGTCGGAACAAGTGCTTATCTCCAACTTGTACTTGTGTCTGGGGGAGAAAGGACAGGATGAGCTGCATAAGAGAAAACCACACCTGGACTTATCTGCAACA